GTGTTCTAATTTTAAAAACAGGTGTGATGTCAAGACTCTGGCGTTTCCTGCTTTAAATTTTTGATTTTATTGGTCCGGATTAGTTACTGCTTTAGGTAATGTCTCTTATCATGTATAGTTTATACGGTATAGCTATCTAGAAAGAAAAGTATAAACCAGGAAGAAATTGTAAAATAACTGAGTTCAGAAATGGCTATTTTACAATGCCCAGGGAAAGTAATAAGACAAATGCAAAAATGATCTCATTGATATTCATCTAGTAAAAATCTTAAGTTTTCAAGACCATAAGTCTCCAAGCAGACATCAACCTATTATATCTTTGACTGTGGAGATAGCATTACAGTATTGTTTAAATATGTTTTCATTCTCACAGGCTTACAAGCCAAAAATAGTCTGTATTATAGCTTAGAAAGTGATCTACTTAAATAAGTCATTCATTCTTTCATTCAACAAATGTTGACAACATATCTAACCTACTGTGTTCCTGGTATATGGCATAAGCAACACGAGAGTGTGCCTTACAAAGGGGGGAGACAAACAATAAGACAAATACAGGGGCAACATCAAAGTTCCAGGACAAAGGAAAACAGGGTGATGTGAAGAAGTACTTGGCTGAAAGAAGGACCCTATGGGTTAGAGGTACATGTCAGGAAGGGTGTCTTTGAAGACACAATACCTGAGCAGAGACCTGCATCACAAACATGAAAAGAAACCATGGATGTAAAGTCCTGGATAAGAGGATTCTATGGAGAAGAAATAGCAAATTCATATAATCAGAAAATAGTGGGATGGAAAATAAAACTCAAATCATCAGTATTTTCCACATAAAACACCCCCTGCTTACTAGACAAATGCCAACCTGAACATGAAAAGGGACACAAGGCCTCAACCCTACAGGAAGAACTTCAGGTAACTGCGGAAACAGTTGTGAAGCTTGGATTATCTTAGGAGTCCCTGGCAGTAGTACCACAATACAACCTGATATATGAGCCAGCTTGTTGGAGCCTATTCCCTATGGTGAGATGCCATGCTCAGACTTGATACATGGGAGAGGGTCTTGGTCCTGCCCAGCCTATTGTGCCAGACTTTATTGACTCCTCATGAGGGGGAGTGGACTGGGGATGGGCTGTATGGGAAGGTGAGAGGAAACAGAAGGAGGGGTGGGAAGGAAAACTGTGGTTGGAAGGTAAAATGAAATTTAAAGGAGTAAATAAATTATAAAAATAATTACTGCATAAACACTAAATAAAAGACAATATATTTATCATCAACCTAGAACTCTGAAAAGTAAAGCATATTAAAATGTATAACTAATATACATATTTTTATCAATAAAATATCCAAAGCCCAAATAAAGCTAACCTTTGAGTTAAGAGCATCTCAGATTCTATCATCCAAAAGCCCTCATCCCAAACAGCTGAAATTGAAATTAAATGGTTCCACAAACTCATAGAAAAATGTCTCACAAGTGAATAAGCTTTTCTCTCTTTTTCTGTTGTGAGTTTGAAAACATTAAAAATGACAAAATGGGGTGTGTATTTCAGAAAGGGTGACATGGTTCTTCCTCCTCAGTCTAAATTAGGTTTGGGTGAGAAGTTGTTGTCTAAGGGACAAAGAGTCGACATATGATAGTCTATACAAGGACACAGTGAAAGCTGAGCATGGCTGCCCACATCCCGGACACTAGCTCTAGGGAGAACTAGAGGGATCTCTTGGGATTGTTGACCAGCAAATCTAGCTAAGATAGAGATTTGCCTTGAAGTACAGGGCATGTGGATTAAGGATCCCTTTGACTTTGTAGATAGCCAAACTCAACCTCATAAAAAATTAATTCACCCCCTAAAAAAAAGAAAAATGTGGGGTGGTGGTGGCACATGTCTTTAACCCCAGCACTGGGGGGCAGAAGCAGATAGATCTCTGTGAGTTTGAGGCCAGCCTGGTTTAGAGAGCGAGTGCTAGGAGAGACTGCAAAGCTACACAGAGAAACCCTGTCTCAAAAAAATAGCAATTCACCTCCTTAAAACTTACTTACCATATTTTTTCATTTAAGACAAGGTTTCACCTCTGTCTTCGAGATATGCCATTTCTATTACAACAATGAACACACAGCAGCTATGGACACCTACTCAACATCTACAAAAGAGTGGGTCCTTTGCCATTCCATCATGGTTATGAGAAGTGATTAGCAGGCTCCAGACCTTCTGAGTAGACATCTGTATTTCTTGGTTGCAAAGGGAAGAGGGGGTGTTTTCTGCAGTGATTTAGCCACTAATAAGTTGTCCATGCCCCAGTGAATACCCCTACCCTTTCTCAAATAAGCAACCATAATTAGATGCAGTGGGTCAAAATAACCTGAATACAGGAGAGGAAAAGAAGGGGTTAGGCCTGGCTGGTCTTTTTCAGCTTCACACAAGCTGAGATATCTGGGAAAAGGAAATCTCCATTGAGAAAAATGTTTCATCAAGTTGGTATATAGGCAAGCCTATATGGTATTTTCTATCAATTATTAATGTGAGATGACCCAGCCACTGAGATTGGTGCCAACCCTGGTAAGTGGTCATGTGTGGTATAAGAAACAGGCTGAGCAGCCCAGGGGTGGTGGCCCACAGCTTTAATCCAGTACTCAGGGAGGCAGAGGCAAGCAGATCTCTGAGTTCAAAGTGAGACTGGTGTACAGAGTGAGTTCCAAGACATCCAGAGCCACACAGAGAAATCCTGTCTTGGACATAAAAGGAAGAAAGGAAGGAACAAAGGGAGGTAAGAGAGAAAGAAAAGGGAATAGGCTGGCCAAGTCATGGGGAGCAAGCCAGTAAGTAGTATTCCTCCATGGTCCCTGATTCATTTCCTTGCCCCAGGTTCCTGTCTTGAGTACCTGTCCTATCTTCCCCCCATGATGAACTATAAATTATAAGCAGAAATAAACCCTTTCCTCAAGTTGCTTTTGGTCATGATATTTTATCACAGGAACAGAAACCCTAACTCAGCATACATAGAAATGGAATTAGGATAACAAAAGGAAAAATGGGTAATATCAATTGAGTTACAGTAATATACAAAAAAAACGTAGACAAAACAAAAATGCATGTTTTCTCCTACTTCAAATGTTATCTTTGAATCTTCAGAATCTCACAGATGTCAGTAAATTGGTAACATGCTGTGGATTATGCTAATTGTTAATTTTACAAAACTGATAGACCCATAGCAGGGCAAGAAGAAATTGGATGAGACAGACTGACACAGAAAGAAGGATGGGAGGAAGAAGGGAAGAGTCAGCTGAGTTGAGAGAGATATTGGCCAGCTGCTAAGCAAGCAGGAAGCATAAAAAATGAGGTAGTAAGTCATGAGTCACATGGCAAAGTATTAATAGGCATATGGGTTGATTTAAGTGTAAGAGTTAGCTAGTAACAAGCCTGAGCTATCAGCCAAGTATTTATAATACATTTTCAGTCCCTGAGTGGTTATTTAGGACTGGGAAGTTGGGACAGGAAAACATCCATTTAGAATAAGAGGCCATAGGAGGGTGCTTTCAAGATAGGAAAAAGTAACACATAGGTGTAATGGAAAACAGAACGGGCTAAATTAGCATGGGGAATGAGAGGAATAAAATAATACCAATACCTTTTAAATTTTATATGGAAACTGTAGAAGCTTTCTAATACACACATACACACACACACACACACACACACACACGTAAAAAGAGTTTAAAGTTAGTTATATCAAAGTAGGTTAAGGTAACAATGCCTCTAAGCACCATGGGCTAACAAATAAAAAGCCTAGTGCCAGAAATGGGCTATCTCTTTTGAAATTGTTGGCTAGTTAGTTCTATAGATAACCAAAACATTACTGATTGTTACCAATGCCATTGGTTGCCCTCCAGAAACTGATGGAAAAACTCTGCTGCTGAAGGCAACATATACTTGATTCATAGAACATGGAGAAATCAAGATGGTACTGACCTGGAAAGTACATGCATTCTGACTAGCTTCCATCATACTGGAAGGTGATATGCATGTTACCAGAGAGAAAAAGCAATTATCAATCTAACCCAGCTCAGAACGCTGCAAACTACAATAACAACCAACCTGCCAAGATATGTAAAATAGTGATATAACTTTCTGATAGTTGTAGCCAACCACTTTCTGATTGAACTTAAAGCCAGCTCAACAAGATGAAACTCATACCTGACACTGTTATCAGGATCAAGAACCTGTGACTAAGTAGAGCATAGTCCATAGAGGAGAACCTGCTACTGTTATTCTGTTAAATGGACATATTATTAAGTTGACTCTTAGTAAATTATTTTATGCCCATTTAATATATCTCTCAGCACTCATCATAGAAACATATTTTGCAAAATATTTGATCACAGTGCACAGACTAAGAGACCATACAATGCCTACCCTAAGTAGGACATTGACATCACAGATACACACCCCCAGTGTTCAGTAACCATTGCAAAAGAGGAAGCAGGAACATTGTGAGAGCCAAAGGCAGTGGATAGCTACAAACAAATACTGTTTTCTAAACAAGAAGGCCAAATGCACACATGAACTCACGAATGAACCTGGAAGATCTGTGCAGGCTCAAGCCAGATAAAATTCCAGTGTGGAGAAGAGAGGTAGGCATAAAGTACAATTCCTACCTGAGTACTCTTGGAATCAATAATTACTGGGAGAGGGGAAGTCAGTCTTCTCTAAGGAGGCAGTCTCTGTTAAGTCAACCATGTCCAATGGAATATCACATATACACAAACATATGGGCAGCACAAATACATGTAATACCACATAGACACAAATATATAGGCAGCACAAATTGGACTTGATGGTTTCTTTTTATTTGGGGTGTGAGATTTTTTTAAAAAGACATAAATTTGGTTGACTAGGGAAATGGAGGTAGATCTGAGAGGAGTTGGGGGAGGGAGTGAATATTATCAAAATACACTTCATGAAATTTAAAAGGTAAAGTAATAGAGATAATTAAACTTTAAAAGCAAATGAATTCTTGCCTGGCAGGGGAGATACCATGATCACGAAGGTAGTTTTCCCAGGGCAAGGCTTAATTCATTGCACTCTAGTTATGCTGACCCCTGTGATTTCCCCAAAGCCAGGAAACAGGACTGTATAATTTGTGGTAGCAGGAGATTACATTTGCACTCTCCTTGGGAAAAAAAAGAAAATGAATTGTAATTTTTTTCAATGAAAATGGCCCCCATAGGCTCATAGATTTGAATACCTGGTCACCAGAGAGTGTCGTGTCCTTGTGGGAGGAAGTGTGTCAATTGGGGGTGGGTTCTGAAAGTTTCCCAAGGCCATTCCAAGTCCAGGGTCTCCCTCTTCCTGCTGCCTGAGAGTGTGGGTATAGAACCCTCAGATCCTTCTCCAGCACTGTGTCTGCCTGTGTGCTGCCATGCTTCCCACCATGATGATAATGGGACGAACCTCTAAGTGTGAGTCATCCCCAGTTGAATGTTTTCTGTTATAAGAGTGGCCATGGTCATGGCGTCCCTTCACAGCAATAGAACACTGGTCAAGACAAGAATAAAGAACAGAGTTTCACATAACTCAGGTTGGCCTTCAACTTGCTGGGATTACCTTGTTCTTTCTGTCTTCATGCAGGTATATGTTACCAACCACACCCACTTTATACCACGTAGGGAGTCAAAGTTAAATTCATGCAAGCCAAGTGTTCCATTATCTTCCCAGGCCAAATTTCAGTTTTTCAATTTATACAATAGATGTAAAAATATTTTGTGTGTGTGTCAAGTGAAACAATGTAGATCAGAGAGTTATTTAAAAGTAGTATTATCACATTAGACTAATTTCTTCCTGCCCTCATAAAACTCACCCTAAAGGAGTTCAACAGGAAAATGCATAGGATTTCTTAAGTCCACCTACAAAAGCAAGGAGTTTCATATTAAATTATACAAATTATGCATTTCTATTTCATGAAACATGTTAAAAGTTGTTCATTAATTACAGCAGAATGATTAGAGAATTAGATTCACTTATACTTCTAGGCTTTTGGGTTTTTTACAGGGTGTTGACATAAAAAATTTTCAAGTCTCCATATCAGTTGTTTTTAGTAAAGTTTTGCTTATTTGTTATAAGCAAATGTTACTTAGGTGAAACTGCTTGTTTTATTATTTTATTCTCTTCCACATTCTGTGTGCTTATCACTCGTTCTCACACCTCATTACCTGAAAAGATGTGCCCTGGAATGCGCAATAAAGCATCTCACAGAGTTGCACTATTTTAGCAAGCAGCAAGCCACTGTTTTCTCTATTTCAAATGGAAATCAGCATTACATTAAGAACAGTGACCGGGCGGTGGTGGCACACGCCTTTAATCCCAGCACTCGGGAGGCAGAGGCAAGCGGATCTCTGTGAGTTCGAGGCTGGGCTGGACCGACAGCCTCCAAAACAATACAGAGAAACCCTGTCTCGTAAAAACCAAAAAAAAAAAAAAAAAAAAAGAACAGTGGACAATATTGTCAGTTGTCATCGGTCTTCCCTACACAACATCAGGACCAAATTAGAATTTGCTCTTACCTAGCTAGCTTTTATCTTATTTTATAGGAATTATTTAAGGAAACAATACTGAGTTAATACTTGCTTTTCACTGATGCTTTTTCTAAACAATGAGCAACTGTTTTCTAGGAATGACTGAAAAGTAGACCAGTTGTCATTGACTTTAATAGCAGAAGAATTTTCAAATTCTTAAATCTAAGACTTATATCAATAACACAGCTTATTCAACTTTATATCTCTAACATCTATGCTGCACATGTAATATCAATAGGCATCTTCCAGTACTTCCTTACATAACCAGGGATTTTTAGAAAGTCCTTGACACTGATAACTAAGGACAACCTACTCCTAAGCCATCTGATTTTCTTAAATATGCTTCTTTTCATATTTGAACCAAAGGATTTCAAGAATCGGATTTTCCACTATCATACAATCTCTCCAGATTACCACAATCTGTAATTATGGAGGAAGCACAGACAAAGCCAATCAGAAACTCCAGGGACTAAACTGTGGAAGGCTGTGTACCAACTACCAGAAGTTGTGGACAATGCCCGAACACCTCTAATCTCAATAGCAAAGGAAAACAGGGAAATTTACAAAGCAGGAGACAAAGTACAGGGACCCAGCCAGAGATAGTGGCTCAGTTTGGGTGAGAGGGAACCTTTCAGACGGCAGGAGGCAAGGGCAGAAACCATAGCTAAAGACACAGGGGCTCAAAAATACACACTGAACATTAAATAGCAAGCATTCAAGGTGCAGTAAACAAATGCAAAGCCAGACAAATGGCACATGGCAGTGACACTAGAGGAGAGAGGAGAGATACCAAGAAAATGTTCCCTTCTGAAGAGTAATCTTGAAGGACAATCTAAAAAGACTCCAACTGAATGAGAGACTTGGAGACTGAGACCCTGTGTGAACTGCACTAAAGAGAAACTCTAGTATCACGAGAGTAGGGAGGAAACACTGATATCTGGCCAGCCTAACACCATTACGATGGGATGGGGCAGAACCTCACAGTATTCAGTGATGTGGGAAACAAGGCAGAGTCAGAGTCTTCAAGGTAAAAATACATTAAGTGTCACATAGGGGACTGAGTATTGCACTGTACTGCACAGGAGCAGGGCCAGTTTGTAGCACAGACAGTAAAATATGACAAGCATCTATGCACTGACCTTGCAAAGGATGACCCAAGGGACAGCTCTTAAGGACCACTGAGAGGTATGAACACCATCTGCAAACCAATCCTTGAGGAATTTTATTTAACTTCACTAAAAATGCCTGGTAGTGTTACAGACACTTGGGAGCCCCGGAAAGAATGCCAAGATTCTAGAATCAGCAAGCAAGTGAGGCTGCATTCAGACACTATACCCATTCATCTCTCCCCTTAACATGCTAGCTCTTCACTTTATATGCAATGTTAGTTTATCAAAGCGACTCTACCCTATTTTGTTCCTGTCATCTCTTACTCTCTTTTTACCTTCCTTTTTCTCTATTCTTTCCCTTTTCATTTTCTTTCTTGTTGGTGTTTTTAAAGAACACAATCTTGCTTTGTTGTTGGGGTCTCCATTTCCAAGTCTCTTGACAGATGAAACTGGTTTTGGTTATACGCCGTCACCAAAACTTCATCTACTCCCTATTGTTCACTCCCTTTGTTTAATTTTTATCAGCCTTTTCTCTATTAGCCCAATTTTAATTTTAACTTCTTCTTTTCCTTTGCACTCATACACACAGTAAACAATACAACAATGCACACAACACTATCAGTGTTTATTTCTTCCTAAAATGGTGTTTAGAGAATAACTTGTTTTCATTTGATGACTACCTTTATATTTTAGAGGACCTAACCTTTATAATTATTTATTTTATAAACAATAGTCTGCTCTCAAGGAAGTACTGTAACTGAAGTTGGTGCGCAAAACACCAACCTGGCAGAGGAAAATGGCACCTCAAACCTAGAACAAATAGTCCCATTTGAACAATGAAAACATAATCACTGAAAGAAAATTGGTGGTAACTGGTGATGTTGCTCAATGGGTAAGGGTGTTTGTCATGAAGACTGGCAAAATAAATTGGACTCGCAGGATCCACATGGTAGATAGAACAGAACTGACTCAGAAAAGTTGTCCTTCAGCCTTCTCGTGTATGCTACAGCGTACATGTACACACAATAAGTAAATGAACATATATAATATATATATGTATGTACATAGATATATGTGTGTATGTGTATATATGTATATATATATACATATATATATAATCAAAGTGACTTTTTAAAAAATCCAAGCAATGATCTAACCCCCAAAGTGGAAATTTCAATAATAAAGTCCCATGGCAACACTACTCTTTCAAAAGTTACAGACTGCACAACAACAGCAATAAAACAGTGTCCCAACCTGCAGGACATTCAACGTGGGTCTGGTGGACACCTAGGAGAAAGGTGAAATATAGGAATGGACGCCATGACAGGGTTCTGATCAAGGCGACAACTTTATTTCATCACAAAGGGATTTATATAGGAGAACTGAGGAGGGAAAGGGGGGAAGTGTACTTGCAGCTGCAGGGGCAAGAGGTTAGTGGGAGAGGTGGTCTGCTGTGTTGCCTGGCTACCTAATCTACAGGGCAAGAGGTCAGGGGTAGGAATTCCTATATTGCTTGCTAACCTGACAGCGGGGGCCGGTCCTATCTATTACAATTTACTACTGCTCAGGCCTATTTCCTGAAGACCTTGTAGTTTTTCCAATTAAGCTAATCTTTAACTGACTGGTAAACCCCAGGCTTGTTACTTGGAATTTGTTTATGTCAGAAGGGGTGGCAGGGTGGTGTTAGTGTCATGTATTCTCTATGAGTACGTGATACAGCCTAGCTGACTGATGGCTGGAGGTCCCTGACAAAACAGATAGCATCCTAGACAAATAATTCAAAAGAATGATTATAGTATATTCATATTAACACAATGAACTCCTAAATGAATTCCTGGAGAACAAAAACAGTTGAAATAAAGAAGTCAACAAAGGATATCAAAGTGGAACTTAAAAAGAGAGGCATATTGAAAAATACTGCAAAACTAAAAATGAAAAGTAAAGTAAGTAGATTATCAAAAGTTTGATAGGTTTTCCAATACAATGGACTGACAGGGGAACAGAATATCAAGGATTCAAGATAAGGTAGGAGAATTAGAGCATTGAAATGTAAGATCACTTTTTAATATTTGACATGAGAACAGAAGCAAAACCATCTACATGAACAAAAGGACTAATGAGACTTACAAGAGATAAGAAAGAATACAGTGGGGGAGGGAATATTTTCAATGAACAGCATATGCTTCTCTGAAAACATGCCTTTGTAACACAGCATCGTGTATAATGAATATGCAAAATAAAAAATAATAATAGAGGAGACCAGGATGAGAGCTACCATAATAGTAGGAGTCATTATAGCTTTGAGGAGAGAGCTGACACTAGTGAGATTTCCAGAGATCTACAAAGATAACACAAACTGGAAAACTAAGTATTAGCTGAGAGACTACATTAACAGCCACCACCTGATGATAAGGTTGATGACTACCTTATATGACATCCTAGAACCTTAATCCAGTGACTGATGGAAGCAGAGACAGATACTCACAGCTAAG